AGTACTTGAGTGGAGGCCCAATGTCCTTCTGCTACCTTAATACTAAACCTATAAATATATGTACATAGATCTATTTCCCCATCCTCATATTTAAACATATTGGCATATGTACATGCCTTTATCTAGACCTCTATAAAAAATGACCTTGTCTCCCAGATCTTTCTTCTATTTCCTTTGACTTTCCTCCTGTCAAAGGAAATAGTCCCCCACCTGGGTTTCAGCAATTCCTCTTGGTTATATTACCCTTGATCAAGCCCTACCAGGCCTCCCACACCCTCCTCACCCCAGATTTGGATCACTTGTTCCCTTGTCACTTGGTTTATTCACACCAATGCCTTTCCCCTCACCGACCCCTCTCCCATGTCCCCCCAGAACTGTTGGTCCCATTGTTTTCTCCTCCAGGCTGACACATAGCGACTTCTTCCCTCAGGACCATTGGTTCTTGCTCATCGGCTACTTCCTGGAATGGTGGAATACTGAGTATTTCTCTTGGGGACAATGGCTCTTGTATTCTTTCCATCTTCTTTTGATGCTTCCACCATCACTCAATATTTTTCCCATAGAATCTTTCAAAATTTTAATTTGAGGCTAACCTTTTTCTTGAGTTCTTTCAACATAAGATAGTCTCTTCTGACATCCACTTGGGTCTTTTCTTTCTTTCTTGTCTTTTAAAAAAAATCATTTTATTGGGGGCCCCGACAGCACCTATCAGAATCCATCCATCCATCCATTGTGGCAAGCACATTTGTACATTTGTTACCATCATCATTCTCAAAACATTTGCTTTCTACTTGAGCCCTTGACATCAGTTCCTCATTTTCCCCTCCCTCCCCATTTCACCCTCCCTCATAAACCCTCCCCATTTCACCCTCCCTCATGAACCCTCAAACTTTTTTAACAGGGGTAAGTTCACTGTCCCTCAGACCCATTGGAGGGCCAGACGATGGCTTTAAAAAAACTATGAACAAATTCCTATACACACTGCACATATCTTATTTTGAAGTAAAAAAACAAGCAGGGCAAAAACAGCCGGTGGGCCGGATAAATGTCCTTGGCGGGCCGCACGTGGCCCATGGGCCATAGTTTGAGGACCCCTGCCCTAGATCTAACACTAGGCCTAACCCTAACCTTAAACGTAATGCTAACTCAAACCCTAGGCCTAACCCTAACCCTATCCCTAACCCTAAGCCTAACCGTAACCCTAGGTCTAACCCTAACCCTAACCCTAGGCCTAACACTGACCCTAACCTTAGGCCTAACCCTAGGAATAAACTTAGGCCTAACCTAAGGTGACCAGAAGTCCCGCTTTTGGCGGGATAGTCCCGATTTTTGGCATTTTTAAAAAGTCCAGATTTTTGGAAAGAATGCACGACAAGCTATGTAATGGCCTATTTGGTCCACATAGACCAAATTTTTAATCAAGATATCCTCCCCTGCACCCCCCACCGGTCAATGGTGTCCCACTTTAAATCACCTTAGAAACGCAACCTTAACCTTAACCCTAGCCTTAACCCTAACCCTAACTATAGGCCTAAGCCTAGGCCCAACTCTAACCCTAAACCTAACCCTAACCCTAGGCCTAACCCTAACCCTAAGCCTAACCAATACCCTAGGCCTAACACTATCCCTAGGCCTAACACTAACCCTAACCCTTTCCCTAAACCTTGGACTAAACCTAGGCCTAACCCTAACCCTATGCCTAGGTGTAACCCTAGGTCTAATCCAAATCTAACCCTAACCCTCACCTTTACCATAACCCTAGGCCTACCCTTTACCTTAACACTAACACTAAGGCAAACCCTAGGCCTAACCCAAGGCCTAACCCTAGGACTAAACCTAGGCCTAACCCTAAACGCAACCCTACCCCTACCCCTAATCCTAACCCTAACCCTAACCATACCATAACCCTAGGACTAAGCCTAACACCAACCCTAAACCTAAACCTAGGTCTAACCCTAGGCCTAAACCTAACCCTAACCGTAACCCTAAATCTAACCCTAGGTCTAACTCTAACCCTAACACTATCCCTAAACCTAACCCTAAACCTAGTGTTAACCCTAGCCCTAACCCTAAACCTAATCCTTGGCCTAATCCTAACCTAACCCTAACCCTAACCTTAATCCAACCCTAAGACTAACCCTAACTGTAACCCTAACCA